ATCCACATTTCACATGGATACCTATAGACTGTATATCACAGTCCTTGTTGAGCACCAAAAGAATAAGCTACAAAGCCACAGGCACTGGAAAATTACATTCATGTGCTACCAGCTGCAATTTTCATTTTGGTTTCACAAGATTTGCTGACAAAAATCAAGTTTGAAAGCAGAAATGCACACCCACTGCATTGGCCTCAAGTGATATAATTAAAAATATAGATGTTTACTATGGAGTTAAAGTTTCTATAAAGAGTCAGTGGTCATTTTATGTTTGTGTTCAGCCTTGTTTTTATTGTGGTCGGTTTGACTGCCCTGAGAACATTTCTCTCAAAAAATCCCCCGAAAAAAAATCAATAGAAACAATCCTAATTTTTGTTTTTGAAATGATATTGAATGAGGACAGTATTAAATAAATTCTGATCTAAATCGTTTGCGTTCAAAATACCATTTATTTTCTTTTAACAATGATCTTGGTGTTTTTCAGTGTGGCATCAAATCCAGCCTGTGACCTCTTTGTGTTTCAGAAAGATCTGTTCTCATTAAATGAGAGCTTTGTTAATCAGTTATCTTATTAGCTGCTAGAGGGCATGGCCTGTTTGGCTCATCATATATTCACCCTATTGACATCTGCAGTGAGGTGTGGATGTTGGAATATTGATATTCTGTCAATTTTCATAGTTTATCCTGAATGACAAAGTTGGGGTGGGATGGTTTTATATGTGATTATTGATTGTGCCCCAATAGACTGCAACAGTAGGGTATACCGTAAGTAAGTAAAAAAAAATTAATTCAATAGATTTTAACCATTAGAATTTAAAAACTTTTGAAGATTTACTGGACCATATGTGTTAATTTGGTTATAATAGGCATTTTATTTAAGGTGCCTTTTATGGCACTCAAGGACACTGTACAAAATACATAAAAAAAGACAGTAAGCAGCAAGAAACATTAATTTAATATCAGGAGAGTTTTTAAATTATCACGACAGGGATCCATCAGTGTTAGATCCGGGTCACTAAAGACCTGAATATGAATAGTGAAACATTTTGGCATGTAATGGTTAAAAATTAATTCCCTCAAAGAATAATTACACCTTGCACCTTTTACTCGACTTGAAATCACTATAAAGAAAATGAGTGGGAAAAATACTGTAACAAAGGCTGCTAAAAAAAGTGGGTGGTCATTGTGGAACACCATTATGGAAAAAAGTCTTTTAATAAAAGCCAACAGTCATTTGCTAATGAACAGGAACAACAATGTTCAAAGTTCTAGTACATTACATACATGCCATTGGCCTAAGGCCATGGCATTGTGTAATGTAGGTTACACGAGCATAGTGCACATAGTGTGCATGTAGATTACATACTGTATCACTGCTGAATTTGAATAGGGGTTGGCAAAAAGGCCCTCTATACATGCCATCATCAAGGCGTGCTAATGCAGAGCCTGGGGTCAAACTGTGCGGTTGAATAGACATGTCCCACCAGCCCACTGACTGATGCCTCATGGATAGAGCTGCTCCATGACTGGCATCTACAGTAGGAGACTTAGTTTAAGTGTGTTTGTTCCAATGTGTTCTTTTTAGCATTATTGTGTGGAGACGACAAAGTCTTTCTCTGCAGAATTGTTTCAGAGTGGGTTACCGCTAGCCTCAGCAAGCATCTCTCAAATAAAATCAATCTACGCTTCACTTAGCCTGTCACTGACTTTTGCTAATGAACATAACTACATTGGTTATTGAATTTGAAGAATCAAAATGTTAGCATTGAAAACAGTAGATTTCATTCTTATGCCAATGTAATCAAAATGATTCATCCCCCATTGCAAATTTGGTTTATAGGCAAAATGTATAGACAATGTTTGCAATGAACAAATCAAACAAAATGAATTGAAATAGCTCTCAGAGACATTAATGAATTTTTATTTTTAGGTGAACTATCACTTTAACATCTGTTTATCTCATTGTTCTCAGTTTTTCTAGAAACGGCATAATATATTGTGGGATGTTTGTTCTGGGGTGTTTGGGACAGTGTGATCCACAGGAGTCGTTGAGGTCAGAAACCATGCCAAGGACAAGGGAGGAAATTTCACCATGTGAAATGATTGACCAGTCAGTATATTATGCAAGAGCACTGTTGATGTTATCCGGGAAGTTCATGCAGGTTGTTATTCTCACGATCAGGTTTGTTTTAAGCACATTTGTAATATGTCGTGTGCTGCTGAAGTCTGCAGCGGGGTGTTGTTGAAGTTGTCTTTGGGAGCTGATCTGAGACCAGATCTGTGGTTTGTCTTTTGATGGTTAAAATCAGAATTGGTCTGAGACAAAGCTGGTCCAAGATCAACATATAAAGACACTGTCTAAAGGCGAACAGGAAGACTTGTTACATGCATGATGGGAAATGATACGTTTCCCAACTCTAGATCAAAAGTACAAAGCTTAACCACAAGTAGTAAACAGCCTCTGAGTTTCACACGTGACAGAGCTGCTGAATTGACATTTAAATGCTACAGTAAGGTCAATGTAAAAACACACAAAAACATAACCGAGAGAAAAGAATAAAAAGAAACGGCCTTACAAAATCCTCCGCAGCAATCAAGCCCTGGTTATCAGAGTCAGGCCTTGATGAGAATGCAGGTCATTTCTAATTTATGGCTTTCACAGAAAGGAGACAAACTGAACTGTATTATGTGACCTTCAGTCCTTTGAGGTGTGTTTGCCAATCAGACTCTCAGATCACGATGACACGTTGTTAGGAAGCGTGCAGTCAAGTGGTGATTATGATAGACACTGTTAGAGCTGCTACATTATTGTTCTTCTCTGCTTCTTTAGTGACGGAAAGGAATCACATACACAACCTACATGAGTCATGACTGGAAAGTATCAGTTTCAACCTATAATGACTGCGCAAAACATATCAAGTTGCTTAGGTAAAGCTGACAAGGCTTTGAGGGCTATCTATCTATCCATCTATCTATCCATCTATCTATCTATCTATCCATCCATCCATCCATCCATCCATCCATCCATCCATCCATCCATCCATCCATCCATCCATCCATCCATCCATCCATCCATCCATCCATCCATCCATCCATCCATCCATCCATCCATCCATCCATCCATCCATCCATCCATCCATCCATCCATCCATCCATCCATCCATCCATCCATCCATCCATCCATCCATCCATCTATCTATCTATCTATCTATCTAGAATTTATTTTTACAATTTAACCTATATTGACAAAGGCAGAAAGAGCCTCATTAAGTCAAGTTCTGTATAAACAATACAAAAGTTTATATTTACAATATTTAAATTTCCCAATATAGTTTACTTTCCCATGTGCCATACAAGGAAACAGTCTAATCAGCACTGTACGCTGCTATATGGGCCTTGTGTTCTAGGACAGCATGGCCTTGATTGGGCAGTTCCACCTGTTCTTATGGTCAGGGTGCCCTCACAAACTGTTTGTAAGTCCAATGGGATTACATCTCAAACTCCAGAGAGGACAAGTGTAACAATCATCAGTAGCCCAATGATGCAGAGCCCCAGGGGAATACAATATTTCTTGATAGTATAGAAGAATGGCTGAGTCATCTCACTTGTGTGGTGAAATTGAGAATGTGATTCAACACTCCTGAAACGTTTTATTGATTGTTGAGAGAAGAACACAAATGTTCAATGTGTGGGACATTGAGTTTCATTTAAATCTCACTGTCATCAAAAATGCATTTTGCTGAGTGGTAAAAGTCAAATATGGTGAGGTGAACTTATACATCCTGTGTGTTCTTGGAGAAACATTGCTCAAGAATGTTAGGTCTATCTTACACTTATTACTGAATCAGAGACATGTTACAGTAATTTAAATGCATCATAATATGCAATGCACATTAAGGTGCAGAATATCATATTATACAAAGAGCAAACATAATTATAAAATATTATACACAAGTAATATAAAATAATAATAACACAAAATATAATTAATTACAATTATGAGGGGACATTTTATGGGACTCTTCTTCCATTTCAGACGTGAGGCAGCCATCTTGTGAAATTTGAACTGCCGTCTTGTCGGTATGCTGTGATTATTTGCTTCAGAAACACTGCATGAAATGCAAGAACAGCCCGTTCTTGTGGTGGTGAAAGAATATGTAAAGTAATACAACCAGATGGCTCTCTGAATGCCATATAGCCTTGCACTCAATGAACACTTAGAACTTTCCAGAGAAGTACTGTGAATAGGACTGAAAGAGAGTACAGCTTTCCCACAGGAGAACAGTGCATCGTTAGAGCTGAAGTGTTGGGCTTCAGCCCTTTATTTTCTCCTCTCCTGCCTTCATATAAAATAAAAGATTAAGTAACTTTTGAAACACTGATCTCCATCTCCATCACCCCCACAGTCTGCTTGAGTAATGCAGGAATATGAATACATTTTCCAGTCTGGGATTCAGTGTCTATGCGCTATTTATTTAGAAAAGTTTTGTCACTTGGCCCTTGGAGTGTCTGACTTGAACGGGAGCCGACTGTATAAATATTTTACAGTAGCCTATTCCATATTGTTTCCATTCTTGGGGTGTGCTTAAGTGAGGTTGAGTTCAGTGGATCATTTGGTATAGTGTTGATCCTAATCCTACTTTTTTATATTGCTAATCTTGATCAGAATGCTTTGAATGGGTGAGAGGAAATCTTTATTGCTTTGCTTCATTCACACTGTAGACCATTTTCACTATAAATGATAACCACCAATTAATTTACCATTTAAATTAGGCTATGGATACAAATATAATGCTTTAAAATAATCTCCTTCCTGAGTGGAGTACCTTTTTATACTTTGTAAAAGTTTGGTGGGGGCAAGTAAGGTAGCGAACTCCGGGACACGTCGTCATCCAATGAGTGCGCGTGCCTCGCATGACGTTGCCAAGCGCTACCGGCCGACACGCCCCCAGCATGGATACAATCAGCACTAATCGGCGCACAGCATACTGTCACTTTATCGTCGTGAGGACTACAGCCACGATGGGAGTTTTGATACTCAATCAAGACAAGTTTTCAGTGGTCTCTTCACCGGAAACTTCTCTCTAAAGGAAGAAAGCAGTCGGTGTCGCGTGCTCACGGCTTGATCTCGCATGATTTACATGCAGGATGTCAGTATTGCTCAAAAGCCGGTAAGATAGTGCAAAGTGAGTTTGCTTATGAGAGCTGCCTATTCAGCACCACACAAAGGGGATCTACTGAGTTCAGTGGTCTGCTGTCATTGGGTTTGAATGTCATAAAGAATTTCTACTCTTAAAACGAAATGGATCACTTCGCAGCAGAGTGCCTTGTGTCAATGTCCAGCCAAGCAATTGTCCACGGTCCAAAAGGGAATAGGGAGATCAAGCCCGAAACTGCGTCTGCACAGAGGAATGGAGAAGAAACCAGGGAGCCTTTGAAAGACAACTCATCTCTTTTTGTGGTGGCGAGAATTCTGGCGGATTTTAATCAACAGACCCCCACCAATTTTGCCGAGCAGGCAAAAGTAAAAGAGGAGAGCACACCACCAACAGCAACCCCGACCCGAGATGATGGGAACTCTGCCACACCTACCACCATCACCGGCGACCCTGCTCTTAAACAAAGAAACAAACGATTTAGGGGGCGAATTGAACAAGAACCCCCACAGAAAAAGCACAAATGCCACTATTCAGGTTGTGAAAAAGTTTATGGCAAATCGTCCCATCTCAAAGCCCACCTAAGGACACATACAGGTCAGTTTCCATTCCTGCCAAGTGTATTGCCGTTTCGCAGATCCAATGTAAACATCGCGACTCATCTGGGCACATTATGTTCCGCACAAGCTCAGTTTTACTTGACGGGACAACTGTTGTCGCAGTGAATACGATGGTATCTTATATAAAATGTGCATTTACTATAACTTGCCGTTCGAAGGGTATAGTATATTATTCGATGTAGCCTCGTAAATATTGTCACGCCCACCATGAGGAAGCTATATGGTAAACAGCAACAGTTATTCTCCCCCAGAACCTCGCCTATATGAGCCACCACAACACACACACACACACACAAGTTACATACAAGCCCACCAGTTTAGAGTTTCAAAAAGCACTTTATTTGTATATTTTTTTTTTCTGCGAACAATATTCCCAAAGCATTAACACACACAATAAGAACGGTGTCAGCAAGGAAAACAATATTCATAATAACAATTCTATTAAAGAATACTGTAAAAGAAACATTCAACAAGACTATTATCTAGCATAACAAACCATTTACGTTAGAACATATGTGCTCGTGCATACGCCTAGTCTATATTCAATACCTTGGGATAAAAAAAATCTGCACGCAATTAAATCTAACACTGCAGCAAAGAAGCCAGGAACCCCATGATGTAATCACTCATAAAAGTCTTGTAGTCTATAGTTTCAGGAGTCGATGGTGGTGGTGGTTTGCGAAAAGTGCACTGGTTGTAGCTCACGCTGCCAGACAGAATCAACGGTCCAAAAACAGCAGATTCGCGTATACTTCGTTTTTTTTCTGTGCGTTAGTCCGTTAGTTATATTCAAGAGGGTTGAAAATGAAAACTGAATAAAAGATGGGGGTTGGTGAGACTTCTGCGGTTGCTTGTTTGACTGTTAAGCTCTTTGTTGTGATGTGCCACACCCCCGTCAGACAGACTGCCAGCTGATCTGGCCAGCAACAGACTCGACCAGCCGAGCGCGGAGCCGCGCAGACTGAGTGCCCGCCCTCGGGGCTCGGCGCACACCTCAAGCCTTTATAATTAACCGTTAGAATGGAAAGTACATTTAGGAGAGTAATTACACGTTCTGTACCACGTTTCCACGCGTATACGCCGCTATCATTTTATGTGTTGCTGTCAGACAAGAGATAGACTTCATGACAGGAAACCCTGAGCTGAATCTTGACACCTAAAAGGCATTATGGCCTCAGATCAGAGATAAATCGCATAAATGTGTAAATTGTGTCTGGGTTTCCAGAAACACAACCTAGTTACTTAAAATGATGAATGTTCAGACACAGCAATGTGTTTCTGTCAATCATCTGGTGTCAGTTGTGTGATGGTTCAACTTTGATACACTCAACTTTGAGGCCTGGTTTCACAGACAGGGTTTAGATTAAGCCAGGATTAGACTTTAGTTCAAAGCTAATAAATGTGCCATAGAAAAAAAAAAACGATTTGCATCTTGAGACAAAACAATGGCAGTGACATTTTGAGAGATGTCTTAACTGAGCAACTAGCACTGATTTTTGCCTGATTTACCAGATGTAGAAATTTAAGAATGTGTAATAGGAAAAACTCATGTAGGTTGATCACTTATCTGAATATTGGGGGAGGAGACACATTGCTAAAAAAAAAGTTGCTGCCTTAAATGTTTTAGCATATTTTTTTTTTACAGTGTACTTATTTTCAAACTAGTTGTTTTGGGCAATCCACTGACTGAAAACTCACTAAATCATTCTCACTAATCCAGAACCTATAATCAACCATAGTGGTTCTGGTGTTCTTAAAATCTGGTGTTATAAAGAAAAACTACCAGTATGTACTAGCAACAATAAATGTGTTGAAAATGTTGGTTGCACATCTCGTCTTGCATGCTTATCAGGATTTGCTGCCACCACAAAAATCATATCTTGTGAGGCTGGCAAGACTACTTCCAAAACCATACCTTAATTAAAAGAATGTTAATGGTTTAAACGATTACATAGATGCATTAAAATAATTATATAGTGTGGATTGACCAGATTTTCAGTACACGCCTGTATATAATACTCTAACTTAGCTTTGAAGTACTGTGTCATCTACACGGTTGCCATTTCTTTTAGTTTTTACTTTGCTTGATAATAGGTTTGGCCTTTTTACAGTATATATAATGACATGTTTATGATGTCAGAACACACCACATACCACCCTGCATTCAGGCATATTGTTCTGTAAAACTCTAACTCCAGTTGTGGTCCAGTGTATGGTGTTGGTTATATGTCTAGTTTTGTGTTGACATGTCAGCGTAAGTCATCTAGAGCAGATAAACAGCACAATTCATCATTGGTGATTTTGTTTACGGTGTGCATTTAAGACCTCCCTTACTTCCTGTCTTTCTGTTGGGTTATTCTTTAAGTTCGGGACTTTAGATTGGGTTTCACTGTAGTCACCGGGCTGCGGTCTGACCATGATTCGGTTAAACAATGAGTGTTCCGTCTCATTTGTTTTGGTAATCAGAGAATGTGGGTCATTCGAGTTCAGGCTCAGCCAAGCTGCTCTGTTATGGAAGCCTTTCTTAAGTACTCAGCGGATTTTCCATCAGTCTCTACCAATGGAGCAAAGAGAGAATGGATCTTTCTCCCAGCAACACGCTGCTTTTTGAACTGAAGGGGGAACACAGACTTATAAAAACAAACTTGGGGGAGCCAAAAGTACTAAAGACCTCATTTGACTTCAGCAAACGCCCTGAATTCCCTGCTGGTTCTGGGTTGAACCCTGCTTTGGATCATTTGTTTTAATCCAGAAGGAATTGGGCACAGGGTTGCATCCAGCTTTCTATTCAGAGCCCAGTGTGGTCGATGGAGTCATATAGTACGGCGGTAGGATAAAAGCTTGGGCTTTCCTTCATGCGCAGAGATGCAGTCACTCTAGTCAAACTGCTTTCATAAAAACGATTAGTAATTTCTGACAAGTGCAACAGGTCTTGATATGTTTCTTTGTTGCATGTTTCTGTCATGGCAACTTCGTAATAAAGTGTAAATATTTCATTTGTTTGCAAGACTGTTGCAGTGTTCTCGTGCTCTATGGTTGAATGAGTAAATCATGGGGAAAGGGGGGAGGACCCAACCATCACAAGTGCAAGCTTGCTGGAAAAAGAAGGCGTTTTATGATAGAGCTGGAGCAGATGTACTCTCACGATTATACAACATTGAAATATTGCAAAGGGCTCAACTTAATGCTTTGAAATGCACTTCCCCAAATGCTTTTGCTTAAACTGTATTGTTCTTAAATGGAAGGAACCTTCTTTGACTTTGTACTTTTGAAGACATTATTGCATTAATAAAACTATGTCAGAGTCTTTTAAAAAAACTTCCCAGGAATTAGTTACTAGCTCACATATCTTTGTAAAGCACTTGTTTGTGGACTGAAAAGACCCTTTCCATCTCGCAAACTCAAACCACATACGTTTGCCAAACCAGCAATTTTAGGTTCAGGATATATTTGTAGCTTTTTTTTTCTTTTTAAAGACTATTTATTGTAAGTTCTTGCCCTCAGTAATTCTGTGGAACAGAGTGTGCCTTACTTGAATACGTTTGGTAAAATAACCTTCTTGTGACCTTTCGAGAGGATGGTTTCAGTTTAGTCTGTACTAGCACCGCTTCTGTTGTCTGGGTGCATTCTGAACTTTTATCTCCACTGTTATAGTCAAGTTAAGATTAGAGCTTGGCCTAGGAGAGCATCAAGCATAATATTTGACAGATGTTTTATGGCTGTGCAGAGTCTCAAGGCAAGAAAGGAGGACACATGAAAAGTTGGAGAGGGTAGAAAGAAAGGAAAATATTCCAACCAGCATATGGCTGAATGAGGATGGGCTCATTAATCATCCTAATAATCACAGATGGACAGATTCAGAGAGATGCTTGGTTTGCATTCGATGAGTTGTTAACTGTAATGGTGCACAATGTGCTTGCAGATGATAATTTATAGCATTTTAAGTGCAGTTGACTTGTGGTAGGCATATATGCAGATGAAATGGGTGTGGGGCCATCCGGGAGTAACAACAAAAAAAGATTTTCACGAAACTTGCAGGTTTTGGTTCAGGAAGAGGAAGTGACATGGCTTGAGGAGAAAGCCAAGGCCATGACTGTGACGTATTCTGGCGGTTCAGTATGCAAAAAAAGACATGGTGTCCTTTCAGTGCGTGTGACTTTTCTCGTACATGTAGTTCCTCTGAAAGTATTCTGAATGTGACTGTGAAACCTGACTTTCAAAGTGAAACCGCTTGATACTTGCAATGGGGCCAATTTTTAGAGTATAAATCTGTTTAAATCATAATTTTCAACAAACTGTATGCAACTTTACATAAGATCAGTAAGTATTTTTTTCAGGTTTCAATGTGTTTTGTTTGTCTTGTGGCTGTACTGTTAAACAGTGAGTATTTTAATGTCCCTGTATATGCACAATTTACTTGAAAATGTTGGAGAAAACTTTTACAGAAATTGTACCCGAAATATTCCTTTGGCTTGCATTCGATTAAGTCACTTTCCCATAGAATCCGGTTCAAATTCACCATAATTGTGTTTGTTAGCGTTCTCTTCTGATGCGTTTTGAAAGTCGAAGTTAAGTGAAAAAGTTCATTAGGTTCACAAATTGCTTTCAGTGGCAAACCCTTGACAGATCCTCGTGATCAGAATGGGTACATGTGGCCCCTGTGTTCTTGGTTAATCTCCCTCACCCCATAATTTAATCTTTTCCTGGTACAACTCTGTAATGTCATCTGGGCCCAGATCCTAGACTCATTATTCTGATTGGGATACTCAGGACCTGAATTACTAGTCCTTGTACTCATGGGAATATCTCCAAGGAAGTGGAGGGGCATGTTACCACGTCAAGCCACTAAGTACTTGAGAGAGTCTTGAATATTGATAGCATGCCTCAGATCACACTGTTGCATGATGTGCTGTGCGAGGGAGATTAAATGAGATCACCTCCAAGGCCTCAGAGGTTTTTTTGTAATCCTCCGTAGCA